GTAAAACAGACCAAGGTCATTGAAGCGCCACTGCCAACAAAAAGCCAACATAACACACACACACACACACACACACACACACACACACGCACACATCTGTTGATCTGGAGAGTTATAGCATTGCATCTGGTTTTACAGTATTTCCACAGTACCCATCGTGCCCTGTGCCCACTCTTCTCAGTTTAAGTTCCATGTAAGCTACTTGAATGGATCTGACTTCATTGTTTTTATTTTGGGCTACTAAAGAGAGCAGACTTAATAGAAAGGTTTAAGAAGTCAAAGTTTAAACTAACAAAGTCTCTCACAAGATTTCACTTAGAAAACAGCTGCAGCTCATAATGTGTGATGCTGAGAGTTCTTAAAAGCCCAACGCCAAAGTGCTCTACCCCACTAAGATGCTGTTTCAAAGTTTCTATCACAGTATTTGATGTAAGATGCTTTCAGTAGTGGAAGTTGATGGTGTAAAAAAATAAGCTACTCTATTTGAGCAAGCACTCTTCATATCATCTAATGAGGAGGGATATGAACAAAAACATTTGTCAGAGTTAATAAGTGCCACATCCTGGATCATCCACCCACTGAAGAAGTCACAGTATTGGTGTGATGGTTCACTTAACACACTTTTATGTCTAAGCCCAAAATCACAACGGCCTTTAGACTCTGTGCAGGATAAATCTAAACAAATATATACAAAAAAAACCTTTTCAGAAAATGTTCTCCAGAAGACCCATTCATTGGGAGAACATGAGAAACCACTGAAAGAGCAACAGAGAAGGAATTCAAATAGTTGTACACACTATACTGAAATAAAAGTACATTTGATGATATTAGGAAACCCAATGATACTCTTAGGTAGATTGATTTTAGATATACGTAGAGAATAAAGAACTATAATTTTCACATTTTTTTAAACTCTTTGTAGGTTTATGTTTCAAGTGCTGATGAATTTGAAATGAATGTTTATGTTCGCTCTACATTTATCACCACACATATATTCCAATATCTGGTTCAAGTATTAATAATGATAGACGACACATCTCTTTCTGTTGTTCAACAGTGAATCCTTTATACCCCCTGCAACAGGTGCTGACATATTGCGCATTGAGAGCTGTGTGTGTATTCTTTTTGGTCCTTTGGGAGTATCTACTGTTCTGACCCTGCTGTGTTTGCGTGCTTGTTACCGTTCGCATGAGTCAAGCCCCCAGAATCAACGCGTGAGGCCAAGAAATCAGACCTCGTTGAGTGTGATAAATGCAGTGAAAGGCACTGCAACTCCCCACCCCAACAATGGGAGTTCTACACAATCCACTGTTTATAGACATTTACTGCTTTCACACTTTCAAACTGCTGGAAAAAACTCCTGAAGATCATCTCTCTGTGTGACGAGCATTTGGGAAGAATCACTTTTTGTTTGGGGTGCTGTTTGGCTGCTGTAAATGCAAACTGATATCAGCAGTCTCCAGCACTCAATTTTTACTGGAAAACATACATTATGTGGAATAAAACACTCTGCTAGTTGTTACATTGTAACATAAAGTTGTTTTATGTTACCATGTCTTTGTAAATTCAATAATATATCCATGTCAGTCCATGGCTATATCTAAGACAGAGAAGTTACACTGTGGTGTTCAGAGGCTGAAAATTCATGAGCACGCACATTCTTACAGACAATTGTGAGAAAGTGTTTTCATCTGACACACCGTCATTCATACTACCGAGCTACCGCAGAACAATGTACTGCTACACACCCAGTCTGTGTGACTGTGTGACCTCTGTGACCCCTGTCGCCTTACTGCCTCTCCAGCCCGCACTGGATTTCTGCTACATCACTCCAGCAGTGACCCCCATTCATTTGGACCGACCCCTCTTATCAGGTCTGCCAGTTTTGGCTGCAGCACACAGATGCATGTAACCAGCCCTTCCTCCTCCTCTCCTCCTCTCCTCTAATAACCATACACATGTCAAATCTCTTTAGTTTCCTTCTCATGCATTCACACACATCTAAAAGCCTGCAAGCTGTGGGAAATCATGCTGACTCGATGGTCACGTTCGAGTAGGGAGCAGAGAGTCAAGGCCTCAGAATCAATGTGCAAGGCCAAGAAATCAGACCTTGTTGAAGGTGATTAATACAGCAGAAAGCCCAGGCTTAGTGAAAGGCCACAGCATCTACACAGCATTCCAGGCAGGCTCACACACACACACACACACACACACACACACACACACACACACACACACACACACACACCCAAACACACGGACACACAATACGGACATACACATACACACATTGCAAAGACAGTTTTCGTGACTGCTTCTTCTGGACCCTGGACGGTTTCACATTCAAACCACTGCGTTTGATCATACGAGCCTGCAACATGCTCACATCACCATTCCTAATTAACAACGAATGGTAACAAGCACGCGAACACACAACGGTCCGAACAGTAGATACTCCCATGGCACCAAAAAGAACTCACACACACACACACTTCTGAGAAATTTGACCCCGTACTCATGTATGGATTAACAGTGCTGCCTGTCAGATACACATACCCACACTCAGGCCAGGAACCACACACAGTGACCAACGGATCAGTAACAACTCTTTCACATGCTCTGCAGGAGGACACAGCAGGTGTGAAAAAAATATTAGAGAATGAAAAAGAAAAGGGGAAAAAAACAGAACATACGCAAACTCCTTTATTTGAAAGCCACACTGTTTCCTGGCCTTGGTGCTGTTGGGTTTTAACCAGTGATGGGTACGCTACAAATTAAAGGAAGTTTAACGACAGCAAAGCTTTGTGATACATCTAGTATGGCTACAAAAAGCATCTGAGGGAGACTAGTTCACACTCATTTGATTAAAACAAGGAGATTGGATTGAACATTTAAATGTGATAGACAAAAATCCAAATATGACAGTAAAGTTACATACCAGCAATAAGGAATTAAATTCCTTTTTAAATGCAAACTGCTCAATTATTCAAAGGTTATACATAACATTTAAAGTTAAAATACACCACTTTTCATCAGAATGTGAATTTGTTTTATTTTTATAAATCTGTTATTGTAGTTCCGGACACTCGAGTGCAGGATTTTGCACTTCCGCATTGGCTTCATTTTTCAAGACCGAAGGTTGCCGCTTGAATCACCCATGAAAAATGCTTTGGCTAGACATACTTTCTCAGGCGTCATAATGTAAGAAATGTAAGTACATGGCCATAGGGGAAGCAAGTAAAAAAATAAATGTTTTTACATTATGCCTGAATTTGACATGTTTTAGAAGGTAACTATGGAGCTGTGTTTGTCTTGTCCACATGCAGAAACTGGCACTATCTGATTAATATTAACTTAATGAGTCTGTTGGTGCCTTACTATGAGGGAAAACGTAGAAAAGACACTTAAACACACTGGAGTACTTCTCTGTTCTCCGTAATGTGCAATCCCCTCATCATTCACCAGCAGGACAACAAAAGATCAGCCTCCACGGAGTGTAAACAAGGGGTGTGCTAAATTATGGGTGCTAAAATGTGGCAGTGAAAGGTGGTTTCTTCATGCCTATTTAGTGTCTAAAAATACAACAATGCCAAACCAAAGGAAAGGTATCCGTGCCAGCACTTTTATTTTATAAAAAGCATCATCATCTGACTTGTGAAGTGTAATGAGCATCCTGAAACGTTCAATTAGAGATTTCTTACTAACGAGGTATACAAAGCATCAAACGCAGATCCAAACAAAGTTCTTGATGAGGAGTTAGTATCCAGGTAAAGCTGGATGTGTCTGACGTTATGGGGGTGGAAGGTGTTGACAGTGTTAGTGTTGTGCTCAGAGAGCAGTGCTCGTGTTTTCCTATATTTACGTCAGTATTTACGCATGTGTATACAGGTCCACTGAGAGGTTTATATGTTGAGGGTAATAGGATAACTCTGGCCTCCAACAGCAGAGAAACAGGTGCTTATCTTGTCAAAGCTGTTGTGCTAAGCCGATCTTTGACCCCTGGTTAAGAGCCAATTGAGAAATTAAAACAAGAAATTTGCACGCCCCCCCCCCCCCCCCCCGATCCCCTCCCTTGCTCCTCGCTCCTCTCTCTTACACTCACAGGCACAAAAATGCATGCAGTGGTAAAGGTCAGCCAGATGATGAATCATTTTACAGCTATTTCCCAGTATCCTTCACTGCAACCCAGAGAGCGGTAAATGAGGAGAGAAGAAAAAAACAAAAATAGAGCAAGGAGAGGGATATGGAGGGTTTTTCCCCCAAAACTGGACACTCACAGCTGAGTTTTAGATTTTTCTGGCGTTTTGTGGAGGAAGGGAAGATGGAGGAGTGTGAGGGGGAGTGGACAGGGGAATAGCTCACCGCTGTGTGGGGTCCGCCTCGCGTGCGTTCACCACTGGGGTCTAGGTTATTGATTTTCAGGCCTGAAGCAGGAATATTGTCCAGAGTCATAACTTTCCTGAAGTCTGCCAAACTCTTTCTAGTATTTCTCCTCCAGTTACACACATCTCCATCCGACAGATAGACCCACACTCACAAACGGTTTCTACAATATTAATACAAACAGTTTAACAGTTAATCTATTCATTATACTTTTTTCTGAAAAATCCATGAATACACTGTTTTTCTTATTAATGTGGGAAAAACTCCAAATGTGTGGCTAATTAAATTAGGTAAATTGACTAATTTAAAAATGTATGCAACAAATATAAATTGATCTTAACATCGTGCAATATCTTAAATGACCATTTTTATGGTTTTTATGTTAATGTTACTCAACAACATGTCAAATTACACATCAATAGATTTAAGGTAGCACTTCTGAACACCGTCTCCAAACTCATTTCTAAACTCGTTAAATGCAATGAATTTTGAATTCTTAGAAGTTAAACCACATTTGACATTACAGTATTCTTTCTATGCCAAATGGAAATCTATAGTTGGCATAATACATAAAACAGAGTTTTCACAACATTGTGTCAATTTATGATTATTTTTATCAGATTCATTAATGTTTGCATAATTAAGAACAAATTCATTTTTGTCATGTCCATCATTGTTCCCCTCACAGCACACATAAAACACGAGGGCACACACAAATGCATGTGGTCAGAAACACTCTGGCACACAAACATAAACATAAAAACATAAACAAAGAGCTGGACGGCTAAAGGAAGAACTACTCCAGAGAAATGAATGAGTCTGAATTTTTACTTTTATTTTTAATCCAGCAGAAAATAACAAATCATTCAGAGCATTGGTTCCCAACCTGGGGTATAGGCCCCCCAGGTTGTGACCATATATCTCAGGCGGGGCACAAGACTTTGTCGAAGCTTAGGTTGTTCAAATTACATTTTTCATGACACACTGGATATTACACAGAGGTCTTTTGGTATGAGCATGTGTGTAGGCATTTCATCAGTGAGAACAATTAAAAGTGATGTTAATTGTTGGGGCGCGCTGGTGGCGCAATGGTTAGGGCGCGCGCCCCATGTATTGAGGTTGTCGTCTTGAGCGGGAGGCCCGAGTTTGCCTCCACCCGTGGCCTCCCTCCGCATGTCGCTCCCCACTCTCTCTCCCTGGTTTCTGACTCTATCCACTGTCCTCTCTCTGCATTAAAGGCACAAAAGCCCAAAAATAAATCTAAGAACACAAAAACACCAGTGCATAATACGATTTAATTGTTAAGGGGTGCTGTATTAAGATTTTTTGTTGAAGAGAAATCAATCATTCACCTCCGATGGTACAGTGGTTCACTTCATATAAAAACCTCTTACATGCACATGAAAGTTAAACAAATAAAAACAGTCCCGTGTTTTGCCGCTCAAAGAACGTGATGAAATATTTGTGGCTGTGCGGCAGATACCGTTGGCCAGGAATAACAGCCTGAGGTTAAAAGAAAGCTTTCATTTTCATGTATTAACACATCACTTAGGCCTCTGCTACTGGCTGCTGTAAGTTTCCCTCCAAAAAAAGCCAACTTTGAGGAGAGTCGGAGCCTGGCTGACAACCTGATAGCCTCAGGAACCCACTTTGGTCAGACCTCAGGCCAGACCTGGAGCTCTGGAATAATTCAACCTGTCTCCATTAAGAAATAAATGAAGACTTTATCTGATTAGAGGATTTGCATGCCTTTAAGATATGAATGAAATACTTACAAATATTGCTCAGGTTCCTCAGCACAGTTGTGAGGTTTAAATAAGGTCAAAATAAAGGTTGAATATACATAATAAAAAGAATGCAAATATGATTGTTAAAAATAAAAAAATAATTAATCTTAATAACCTTTTTCTTCATGTAATTTTCCTCTTTTGCAATTCACAGCTTTATTCTGTGGGAGGCAGGGTTGACTATTTTGTATAGCTGAAGTGTTTGGGAGCAGGGAAACTGAGCCTGTGTGTCTCCTCAGTAATCTTCTGGCTGCAGAGGACTGTGTGAAGGTGCAGAGCAGTCTGTCCTGCTGCAGCCCGAGGGCTCGGCCCAGATCTGTGATTGAGGTTGATAATGAGCAGAGGGATAAAGTAGAATTATGGAGGTCTTATCACCCTGAGCCCCCGGGTCACAGCGCACTGCTGGTGGTCAGAGACCTCTTAATCATTACACAAACTCACAGCTCCCCTCTGCAAACACATATTAGTTGTTTATTTAAACTATAGTTTTGGCTTAATGAGAAGGGTAATAACTCACTTTAAATATTCTAAGTGTGTGGATATAAAAGTTTGAGCAAAGCCTGTCTGCAAATTAATATTATTTCACAGGATTATTTAAAATCATTCGTCCACAGTATGATTCAAATTTCACCCCTTTCTTACTAAATTGGAGGGACTCTTGAGGACAGTGTGGCTTTGAAAATGGCCCCTGGGTGCTACATGCACATAGTCAAAGTGAGCTGCATGTGTGGGGGTAACAGAGGGAGACAGAGATGAGTGTGTTGCAGGGTTAGCCAGACCTCAGGCTGTGATTTGTTGAAGTGCATCAGACGGGAGTCGACCAGAATCTGAATAAATCACCTCAGTGGCACCAGTGACAAAACCTTGATAACGCTCCTTCTTTATGTGAGATTCTGCGCCTCTTATCAGGCAATAATGGATGGGAGCCAATTAGTGGGACAACTGTTAAATCTGCTTTCACCTTTAAATGACAGAAGTGACACGTTTTATTGTAAAGATCCCATCAAGAAATGTTAGGAGACATCTAAACATCTGTGCTTGAAATATTGGAACTCCATTAATACTTTGTCTGGTCATTTCCTCAACAAGGAATTTCAATAAATTCAACATTCTCTGTTTTCCTGATTGAATTAAAGAAATTGCGTTTATTTGTCTTCTCACTGCAGGACACAGCATTCCAAATGTTTGAGTGTACATGGAGGCCTCAGGTTTTTACACAACACTTTGTTAGTTGTATATATTTGGATCATGACTCGGTATCCAAACTTGTGATGTCACAAAATGTTGCTACTTCATACATGTCTTCAACTCAAACTTCAGCAGAAAATTAGCTTATTGTGTTTGTATTTGACATCTGTGTCGAACTCATCCTCTTAAAGAACATTTAAGGATCTATCCAGCGCACTTGAGATGTTGCACAACGCAAAGCTGAGGTTTCACTTGCACAGCGATGATTAGGAGGAGGTCAGTGTAACTTGTAGGAGTATCATGCATGTTCTCAGCCAAGATGAGACAAGCCTGTATAGTCTTACCATTACTATTCTTACTGCAGGCTGCCTGCAGACACCGCAGCTGATGAAAAGATTTATTGGAGGAGGTTAAAAAGTCATTTGATACTGCTGAATTTAAGGTAACGAGTGTTTGAGGATTAAAACTGTATCAGCTGCAGCGGGCCGGGGAGCAGAGCTGCTGACAAAGACCAGCTTTCTGCTAATCTCTTTATTCCTCTTGTGAGGTAACTCTTTTACCCCCTTTGAGACAAAAAAAAAAATAAGAATATTTTATACAACTGAGTCCTTATAGATCATCAGGACGCAGAAGTTCATCAGCGTTTCCATGCCAACAGTGTTGAAAACAGGAGCAGGCCTCCCCTTCTCCTGTCTTGTCAGTGTGTATCCCGTTATGGTCGTACAGTGCAGACAGAAGAGCTCTGCCTGCTCACCACAGCTTTATTTATTTTACTGTCTTTCATCTGCAAACCACCACCAATCTGCATCAGAGGGAAATCCACTCTGTGTATCCCATAGGTGTCATTTAGGATTGATTCCCTGGAATTAGCAGACGTCAAAGTGGAACCATGTGCCTGTCTGTCTGTCCTTACCGACACCTGTGATAAGCCTCTTTGGACACAGAGAAAAGGAGTATCATTGGCTCAAGTTATCCACACATTAATTATTGTCCACTGAGAGTTCACATCCAGAGAGTGTGTCACTAAATACTGAAGACAGAAATAATGGTGAAAATATTCTTTAATCAATCATACACTTACCAAAAAGACCCGTAGTCTGAGTTGCTGCTGCATTAATTCAGTTTTAATTTCTTTCCATCTATGTGGTTCAAACCAATAAAATGTGCAGATCCAGCTGTAAGAGACAGAAATAAGCACATGATCAGCTCTCCTTTTTTAAAGCATGCAGCATGCTTATGCTCCTCTGGTTCACATCAGAAAAACTGATACATTTAAAGGCATAGATCCCAGGTCAGACGGATTGCAAGCCAGCATTGAAGGCCCTCATAGATCAGACTGAGGTCATTACTGATAGTGAATCATACTTAGATATATAGGCAACATGAACAGTGATCTATCACCCTTTAGTTGTTGGAGAAATGGTATAACATGGAAGTAAACAAGAAGACCACCAACAGCAGGATTCATCCTCACTGTGTTTATTAGATGACTCTTTGCAGCACCACAGAAAAACAGGGAATTCATCATCAGGTCTTCAAGTGGATCTGCACTTGACTTTTGAAAAAGAGGGAGACTGTGAGGACAAATTGGTCTTCAATTGAGTAGTCACACGCAAGATGATTTCTTTACTTGAAAAATAGTCATTTTATGAAATTCTTTACTGCTTCGGGTTTATTTTTCATCTGATGGATTAACCTTAATGCTAATTTAATACTGAAAGAAACTATTCACTTTAGATGCTGCTACTGAATATTTAAAGTCTTGCCTTTGGAGAAAAGAAACAATTCAACAAAAACTTTCCATTTGCGCGCTGAAATAGAAAAACACGTTTTCAGACAATCTGAGAAAAAACAACAGCACTCTAATAGTAACAGAAACATACAAACAGACACCTGCACTAATTTAATCTAGTTTAAAGTCAAAGTATTATTACTGTAATACAAGTGAAACATAAATATGATTTAAATACAACACTAACATTATGTCCTACAGAAGAAAGTTCTGACTCAAAAAAGGTGTAAGACATCATGAATAAGGTAACTTTTTATTTTAAAGTTACTTCATAAAAGAAAATAAGCAGAATAAAAAACACACAACAAAGAAAGAACAGGGTACGATAGTGAGAGCAATGAAGGACTCATTCTTACACAAAACAACCACCTATTACATTACAAACATTCAGGCACACGTTTTACTAGAAATATGGCTCATTTACAATCATTTCTACCAAGTGTAGACATTTGCAATTCACTGATAAATACAGTAACACACACGCTGCTGTAGGCTAAAAGAAAGCTAATAATTTTCTTAAGTTATCATATATTGTCTCTAAAGAAAAAAACATAGTAACATTTGTTCACCTTGTTTGAAGATCGGTCAGCTCATTTATACAGTCCCTCACACAATGGCAGCACCTCTGAGGCGAGGGCGGGCTGGCTGATCCAACATGAAACATCTGCTACCTGACTGATTCCTGAATCAAATCGCCCAAAGCAACAGCTCAAGATCGGGCTTTTAGAAGAGCTATTTCACTCTAATACATGGCCCATTACCACATAGCCATTCATCACATTAACCCATACAGTATAGCTCAGGAGTGGCTGTACAGTGCCACAGAGCTCTCTGTCTTCAGTCAGGACACACTTGGCAGCATGTCCACTTTGCCATGACTCTGTTTACCTGAGTGATACACAAACGCAGCCTGCCGCAGGCTCTATTAACAGAGCAAGAACAAAACCTGTGCCCATACACACAACACAGATTGATTGACCATCTCGTGTTATATATGCAATGCTTTGCTGTGCACACTTAATTTGTCATTTTGCAGGTTTTATAGTAAAGTGAAACGGTGTATTCAGGGTTGAAAACTGGATTTTTACAATCTACATGCACTTACTCCAAGTCGATTTTCTCTCGTCTGTCCATGTGAGTAATCATGATCTTTCTCTTTAAGAAACATCTCTGAATATTGCAGAGAAGATGCAATAATCAGCGCACTCTCATAGAAACACAGACAACTATATTTTAAAAATTCACAAAAATAAACACGTTGGGTAAAACCTTTAATTAGCATGAAGCCGTGAGCTTTAGCTGGAATTAAGGAGCTTTCAGCCCAGCTGTGGTGAGCCTGATTACTTAATAATATGGTGATAAACACAACTATCAATCAAAGCCCCTGACAGGACTCACAATTCAGGAGAGATCAGCCAAAATAAGAGCTGTGCTGACTCTCTCATTGTGGTGGTGTGTGTGGGGGTGTGTAACAGGATATACAGGCTCTGTTCAGAAATGAAGCTACTTTGGCAGTGTAATGATGTAAAGATATAAAGTGTCAGTCTCAACTACAGCTGTCTCTTGAAAACAATTGTTGTGCAATATCACATCTAAAGTCACTCAGAGTGGCGGACAAGAGTGAAATTGAAATTCAAACACTGGTCGTCACCACAGTAAACACACCTTACAGTACACTGAAAATACAATCGCATCAATGCAACATGAGTGCAGAGTGATTTATACACTACAGACACGGTAAAAACATGCATCCCCCAATGTATGAAACACACTTTATAATGTACTGATTTTATTCTCAATGATATTATTTATTTTTAAGGCCATAAAGGACGGTCAGTTATATGCAACACAACACACAGACGGCTGTGAGCGTAACAGAGAAGAGTATGACCTTAGCAAAATGGCTGCTTCTTTATCAAGAGAACAAGCTTTGGCCCGCTGTGCAGGAGAACCAGTCCCGTCATCGTAGTTCTTGATACCAACTTCTCGTCTGAATAAAATCTGAGCTATCACAGTTTTTTAGTGATTCGACTGTACAAAAGTATGTGTTTGTATTTTTTATGAACTCTCTTTGTCAAACACCGTAAGGATAATTACATAAATGTTATTTTTTATTTGTGCAAACTTGTTAAATAACCTGATAGACACAAAAGAAATGAATGAAATCAAGTAAGGGCACGAAGTGGCTTCATAATATTTTGACATCTTTCTTTTGTAGAAAATCTGAACTAGAAATGTAAATTGTGGATGAACATTATAATAAATTCAAGTTTAATCTTGATATGTGCAGTATATCAGGGATAGTAAGAACACGTTTGAAACTTTGAATGTTTTTGTTGAACTCTTTTCGAACAGTGCAGAAATGCTCAATGCTGCTTAGCAATCATCATAAGTACATATCATTGCTGCTTTGCATTTGCATTTTTATGTGGACTAAAGCGGCTCTTAAAATCTGTTTTTTTCTCTTTTAAAATAATCAGTGTGGCAGCAGCAGACTAAACTCACACACATACAGAATATGTACAAACAGACACACTCAGATGTAAGTTAGGCTATCGTCTTTAACTGCCTCATGCTTTTGTCCTTGCTGCTGTCAGCGTTGTCTATTCCTCGAAATAGCGCTCTGAATGTTGACATTTTCTGCTGGTCAAAAGTATTTTGCAGCTGAGATGAGGTGAAATAAATTCAGTGAGAGGTAAATCAGTGCAGCTCTGGAAGACTCGGCTATTCTCTCTCACCTCGCCACTTTTAGCAGACCGTGGCTGATTTCCTTCCTTGCGTGACTCCGGAGTGTAAACACTCAGTCAGAGTGACTCATCACTATTTCTCACTTCCACGCTCTGATATAAACACACGAAGGGGTCAGGTGTCAGATGGGGTGGTGAGTGGGTGGGGTCTGGGGGGGGAGGGGGAGGAGGCAGTATGTCTCCTCCATAAGACATCTTCCATTCTCACAAATATTCACGGCTTCCTGTGGCCAAAGCCGCACACGGGCCTACTGCAGCCTGCAGGAAGGAGACAGAGAAACATGGTTAGGAAAAAGGACAGAATAATGGGATGATGAATTACTGTCTCTGCCCAGTGCTCTTTAATATCAAGAAAGATGTGATGAGCTCTTTTTACCCACAACAAGAGTGGTGGTTGGCGGCATGGTCGAGAGGATCGAGTTGGGTTCAATTGATTTACAAGTCATGACACCTAGTTTGCTTGGGCCTGCCAACTTGTCTTTTGGGTCGATTGGATGCCTAAGAAAGCCACGATCAGCACTTTGCCCTCCTTAGACCTGCGTTATTACATGGTAGTTGGCGTGGAAGGGAGGGTTAGCCACTTCCTGTCAGGCCCCCAGTCTGAAGAAGGGCCAAATACAGCCCAACATCAATCACTCTGCACTCCACAGCTTTCCCTGTACCATTGTTATAGAGCAGACCGAACGGAAAGAGGCCGGTAGCAGGTGGAAATTAAAAGCCCTTTGACAACCGTAGGCGAAGATTCCTGCCGAGATCGTCACAACATTTACACAGGCCAAAGGGAGCGACGTATGGCTGCCAGTATAGCAGTCTGCACACACTGATCATTTAGTCGGCAACATTCTCAGATGAACTGATACATGAACACAGGAGGCTAAACACCGGCAGCATAGTGGTAACCACAGCTCCTGTAGTTTAATCTGTGTGTACACATGATGAGACATGATTACCCAGCCAGTCATTAGATCATAAACAGGAGTCTACTTCATGAGAAGACTTGCTGTGTTGATCCACTGAAATAACATTAACATTATGGTTTATAGCAATCAGGGTTGAATATGAATGGGAGCATATGCTGTGTTCTGAACAGGTGAAACAATGTCATCATTTTTACAGCAATTTTATTCTTCAGGACACAACTGACACCATTTACTACAAGATCTTTAGAATTCAATGCTCAGATATGACACGAGGGTCAATGACTACAGCTTTACATTGATTTAATCATATTAGATACTGTGCAGGATAAAGCTCAAGCTGATGTTGCACACAATGTGATTTTAGCTCAAGATTTCATTTGGAGCATCTTCTGCATGACATTAGATGGGAAACTGACAACTTTTAATTTCCTTTTTCAATCAGAGACACTTCAGAGGCCAACTGAATTTGAATCTGTTCCTTGTATTGTATCGACAGCCTTTACCTAAGAACGTAAGGAGTTGTATTTTAAAGCTTTTAAATGATGGGATGGGATAGTCTTCCTTTAATTAGCTGGAGGGAGCAAAATAGTTTTTTTGTTATTCATAGGGCTGTAATACAAAAACTGCTTTTTTACCTTTGCTCTGTGCTGGCTTTTAAACAGTCCTTACTACATCATCAGCTTCTTCGCCTGTTCACACTGAGATGAGGAGAAGCAGAAAAAGAACAGTCATAATTAACATCTGTATATTGTCTGTGAGTTTGTGTTTAAAACGATATATATGTTCATGGTTTTGTACACAGGTCTCACTTGAAAGGCAATCTCAACAAGGCTATCTTTCTTAAATACAGGATTAATATTTGGGTTTGAAATGTTATTACCCACATACATTTCCAACCAGAGCTTCATTTTTTCCATTTATGTTTGTTTTCATCAAATCAGCCGAACTCTAAAACTATATGCAAAGGAGCATTAGAAAACATCTAATGTAGAAGGAAGCAGTAGATGATTTCTACATGCATCTGTGATGCAGACACTGGCTTTGAATTACACCACTTTTAATTATGTCCCCCTTTTTTTATTCACCCTTCATTAGCCTTTCCTCCACAGGTTGCATTATTACAGCTGCAGTGTTTCTTCCTCTCCCTGGTACTGCCCCCTGCACCCTCCACACTTCCTCCCCCACAGCTGTACTCTTCTTCTCCACTCTGGCTCATAGAAGCTGAAGCCTGGCAGGATCACTGTCATATAATGCCCACGCGTGTGATGCTTGGCTGGGACCCCCTCCACTCAGGAAATGCTCTCGGCCTTTTTCCCACCCTCATGTTCAGGCTGTGGAGAGCCTGGCATTACAGCCCAATCCAGTTACCATCCCCGAGCATTCCTGACTGATTTAAACCGCTGCCTGGCTCTGAGTTCCCACAGACAACGAGGACACGCTGTAATTTCAATCCGGCCGGAGAACTGGGTATCAAGTTGTGAACTACCAAATCTGTTTATGGCAGAACAGAGGAGTTTGAGCTCCACAATAGGCAATTACCATCCCCGCTCACCCCCACTCCCCTCCATTCAATTTGTGGTTTGTCTGTAGGTGGGTTCTTGCGTGCGCAGATTAAAAATAGCCAACCCATCCCGGACTCCAAGTAAAGAGACATGGAGAACATTTTGCACAAACGATATCTCCCATTGTGGTGTCCTGTTTGGGAATTCTTAATTGCTTTTTCCGAAGCAGCTTGCCACAGGAAAATCCCCCTTCAGAGTACAGAAAAAACGAGTTGGTGGGCTGTGCATAAACACGATAGATATTCTGTAAATGTGCATGTAAACACGTACATATAAGACCCCTGTCTCCCCATGTGCACGCATCAGTCTGTCATGAGAGCAATATGAAAGCAGCTAACCTGCAGCAGAGGGGTCTGAGTTTGACTCGGACCCAAGTCTGCCCTGCCTCTCTCTTTGGAGTTCTTCTCTGTGGTTTCTGCTTCAGCTCGTTCTTGACGTCTCTGTCTGCATCAGGCACACTGTGAGGGAGCCCAGGAGGTGTGCAGGGTGCACGGTGGGACATGAAACAGGCCCCCACTCTGAGGCTGAGTCTTCCTATAGAGGCCACACATAGCAGAGAGAAGCGGTGCAGGAAAAGTTTTTTAACAGATATTTAAAGTTAAGCAATGCATTATGTTCTTTTTTTTATATTAATTATCAATATTTGTGAACGCAGCCTTCTCATAGTATCAGGTGATCCTTAATCAACATGCACTAAATGAAAAACTAGAGTCCTGAATGAAATAATGACTGAAATGTTTTTAAAGAACAGGATTTGTTTTATTCATTTGTTTCATTCTGAAATGTACTAGCTTGGGAAAAATAAATTGTAGAAATCCTGTCCTAAATTACTCTTTAAACATCACTCAGACTATTCAACAATCAAAGAGTTTCCTACTTAAACTAAGTCTTATGAAACTTTTTTTATGGCCTTGAGTTAAAACCTATAAATATTGCAGACATCCCTCAGTGATCCATACTTAAAAACACACAAAATGAACAATGGATTACTGAGAAACCTAAACTTTAAATGGTTGACAAAAGTTGGTTCATTCCATATTAACCTGTAATGAATGTGTGTCAATCATTTGAATTAACTTACATAATTAAACACCAGGGACAGCATTGGAGATGATCATTCTATCCCTGACAAGTCGGATATATTGTTTTTTTCCTTTATATTGTTTATTTATGCAAAAAAAATACAAATACAATTCTACAAATTGAAACGCAACCATTTCAATGTGAAACCTGAAAATAGTCACATAAAAGTGAATACATTTGTCATTTTAGAATTTTGCAGTTTGAATAAAAAGAGACATTTAAACAATTTAAACACATGAAGTACATTTATCCTTCATGCTTTAACCATAAATTGTAACTTTGATGTACACTATACTTAAATTAAACATGTTTTCTATTTCTTGAAATTGGCCTTTTCTCATGTTTTACACAGAAGTTTGCCGACTTGTTAAAAAAATTATTTGTTTTAACAGGTATTTAAATCATGAAACCTTTCCCCTTATAGTGCTAACCACATTTGGACAGTTTGGTATTTGTTAAACCTCTGGAGCTGCCAAATCCTCCCCACTGCTGTCCTTCATGTCAAATTATGGGCTGCTGCCTATGATCATAAAATAAACCAGAGGAAATTTTATATATATGATTTCATTCTTTTTTCATTGTTTGAGAGTAAAGGATTGTTACAGCTGTCATCAGGAGATGGTTATGAAAAGAGAACAAGAATCTGCCTTAACATGCAAAATACTGAACCAAAGTTGAATCTGACAAGGAGACTTGTCTATCTTAGGTTTGACAGAATGACACACCAGGGACTGCTCAGGGAAGACGAGGTCCCAACTCTCACAACTCTGGTGAACAAAAGATGAACTCCTTATCTGCAGAGCAGTGATTGTTTTTACAATAAATAAATGAATGAATAAACAACATTTGTTTATTGAATGCCTCATGTTGAATGCTGTAAGACAAAGCAAGACTTACGCTCTGAGTTCAATGTCATAATTTATGAAATTCTTTATTATTTAAATTACTAATGTACTTCTCTGTTTATCTCACATGATATTTCAATATCTTTTTTTGATGTGAAAACATAAATACAGTAGCACTAAAGACAAGATCCAGACATCATCAATGACTAACATTTACACATGATATCTTCAATTCTTCAGTTTGTGGTGTGCAGGGGAGGCAGACAGGTGTGCATATATGTAACATGTGCATTCTACCAAAAATACCAACAGTACAGTAAACATTTTTTTTACACTGAGAGTATGTTGTTTCAATATTGTCTCTGTTAAAGTATTTACTGCATATGAAAGGATTATCATAGAATACACACGGTGGCTAATTTACTTTGCTGTCTGCTTATAGAATAAAAAACAAGAATAAACAAAACGTTTTTTTCTGTATATAGTTTTTTAGGTGCTTCCTTCTGTAGATGTAAGTAGGCTACCATAATTATCTTTTTGTTATGTCTTTTTAATGTGCCGAAGATGACTGCGCGAAACAAGATGTGTCCACGAGCAGGTTATTAGACGCCTTACAAACATTATCAGTATCACACCTGCAGCCTCTGAAAGTATTTATACATTTCAACAGTGAGTGAGTGAGGACTGCCATCACTGTGCAATTTGTGTGAAAAGTATTAACACAAATGTTTGATCGATCATCCTACTCAGTAGGGGTTTGCTGTACCAGGGGACTACTTTCTCTCGCGCCCTCACACAGGTATCTCGCCAAGAAAATTAAAAAGTGATCCAGCGCGCGCGTTCTGCAGCTGATTAGCCTATGCGAGGGCGGTGCCCAATCAGCGGTCTGCTAGCAATCCCGTCCTTTCTCGTTCACATAAACAGCACTTAAAGGAAAATATACACGGCCACCTACAGCGTGGGGAAAGTGATGAGGGGGTACCCACCTCCACTTTACACTGTTTTCAATTAAAGCGACAAACCTGCTGTGTGAACTACAGGCGTCACCGAGGAGACAAAGAGCTGAAGAAACAATAACAATCCCTCTGAACACTAATCTGAGCGACAGTCTAAAGTGTGTACACTTTAAATATGTCTTCAGAAAAATGTCATAGTCATAGTTTCATCCTACAATGTTGTTTTGGAAATGTGTAAAAAAATAAAAATAAACCAATATTAAAATAATACAGTATAGGCTAAATAACGTAATTATTTCAGAGCACCAATAAAGAAAATGTATGAACAAATAGCTTATTTATTATTAATATTATTTTATAAACGAACGAAAAATATTTTATTGTAGGCTATTTTATGTTGGTATCTTCCGCGTAAAAACAAGCTCACCACTTTTGTTTGTGCGTCTAAAGATGTCATCATTTACATGCTTTTTTTTTGGCACTTATAGCCTACGACAAAATAAGATTAAATAACCAAAATCTAAAAACCTGAAAATTTAATCAAAACCCCAATTTTCTGTATTAATACTCCAAACCACTCGGGCCCTCTTGTTTAATTTGTATAAAGCCGCTATATGTTGGCTAAAGGCATATGTGTTCATTTATTTACATTTTCAAACACGTAAGGGATATTTATATATAGCCTAATATATATTTTTGTTTTTAGCTAGGCCTTATAATAGGCCTATAATTAAAATGTTAGCTTGTTTCTAATGATCACTTTATCGTTATATATCCCTTTCAGATAAAGGGTTTGCTTAAGGTAAGGCTACCTATGAAGAAGTAAAAGTTGGGGGGGAAAAGCTGGTTGCTCAAATGCAGTCCTGAGTGTTATTTCAAAACTTAACTCAAGTTCAAGGCGGATGAACTCGAGCCAGCTGATCGATCACTCTGTCGCTCTGTGGTACAAACAAAGTCCCTGCGGCCTCTCGGTGACCCCCCGCGTCTCTCTCTCATCACCCAGCATAGATACTGGATTATTTCTAAAAGTTAATAATAATATTTAAAAGAATTTCTAATCTACATCTGAATAGTTTATTTGAACCACTTCGGATCAACAGTTTGATCTGTTTTGGGGACCAAACTAAATCCTTCTGACTGCTGTCAAGGTAGGCCTATGATCAATAATACGAAGCCTTAAATGAATTAGCAATCATTTTCAAGTTAACATGGGGTGGTTTGTTCAACTGATGATGTACAATTCAGCCTTTTGTGTGAAAATCGTCTGATATCGAGATTTTTGTTGTGCGATTATGAAACTAATCCTAAAAAGAGTGAAATCTGTCAGCTGAATATTTCTCCTGAAAAAAAAAAAAGAGTTGGAAAAGGCCCCAATTACAGTTTTTGGCCTCATGATGGTTATTCAACCTAACCAACGTAAGAGCATTGAACCGACAAGGAACTATTCATTGAACAGTTCTGCAGAACTTTTTAGCAGCGTGGTTTTTACAGGGGTCCAAGTCCGGTTTGGGGACACTAAATAACGGTAAGACAGTCCGGAAAGGCTGTCAGGGCTGCGCTCTCTGCGGTGTACCTCCACCTAAGTGGTCGAGCATTCCTGAGGATGCAGCCCTGTCAAATATTTCATGATGGGACGTCATGGAAAAGTGCATGACTGCGTCTGCGATGGAGCAACAGCGAAGCTCTGACCTCGAGACTAGAACCCAAGAAATGAACATAATCCGCCACCGACGCTGTTATGCCAACTACTTCCTCTCGATGAATAAAGTACCTGTATATTTTGGATGCATTTAGATGTAGAGAATTATTATTATTCTACAGCAAGTATTAAATTAGAAATTTTATGTTGGATTACTTACAGTTTTATCACTACTATATTTAACACGGACATCAGTAGTATATACAAATACTATATTTTGGAGCCTTTAAGGCCTAAGTACTGGTGAAAAAAGATCGCAGTGGAGTTGCGCATCAGTATCATTGCATAAATGTTGAAGCGTGTACCTTAAATGGACATGCACACTTTTGAAAAAATGAAAAATGGTTTGCCCTATATACATTTAACAAAGAAAGAATAACATGAAATCGTGTGAAGGAGCGTATGAGAGAGAAACAACAGTCCTAATGGTATGAAGTCATCAGCGGTAATTAAATGCAGTGGGCAGAGAGGGAACGGGAGCGCGCCTGCCTCTGGAGCGCGCTGGGTGGTCCGTTGCGCTGATAAATGTGTGGCCCTCACTGCAGGCAGTGGCCGAGCAGGCACCGGTTAAAACAATACTTGCATTCATTTATACACCGGTTTAAATCCCCTCTTCAACAGCACAAACTAACAGTGGCACGTCAGTCACTTTTAGTTTGACAATGAAAATGTTCCCAAATCATTTATTTTTATTTTTCCTTGTGGCAGAGTTCCACACATGAGAAGGCAGTGGCGCGTGTTTTGGGATTTAACAGTTCCGGTAATTTGCCATTTAATATTGAATACATTTTTTCAGAATTTCCTTCAAAAGCTTTATTGTATAATATTTATAAATACACTGTCCAATTGTTCTACGGACAAAAAAATAATAAAACTGGAGCTTGAAATTACATTTACGCACAGGCAAGAGTCTCCGAACAGTTGCTGGTTTACGCAAAGGATAGAGATTGCAAAAATGTTCATCCACCTTTTTAATGCGTTATGTCCATTCTGCCAAAACCTCTCAGTCACCACGAGCATCTAGTAGACACGGTAACGCCGACAGGGATCAGAAGCACATCTCACTGAATCCACGCAGAGGCAATAGGCTGCCGGCTGCAGCTATCGACCTCTCCAGGGAACAATAAGCAAACTACTGTCAACAATTTTAGGTTATGGACTGATCGTATTTCAGTAGCGTTTGCTCACAGCTTTTTAAAAGGCAGTAAAACCAAACAAGATCAGGTTTTATACGATGGAAACGCAAACAAATAAACACACTCGAGCGCGTCTTCTTCTGGGTGAGTTACGTTTAAACCAAACCGGAGACATTAAGGCAGGATCTTGGCTTCGTTTCTCTAAATTTCATATAATATATCATGTTGAACCAAACAAACTAAAAAAAATCCAGGTTTTCCATGGAAGCTCTTTATTACACCGACCACAGTTCTGCCTGTGATATTGTGATTGAAAAGTTTTAAATCCACTTTACCTTCATCCCTGGATCCTTCGATGTAAATCTGTCCGTAGGAGTCGATCTCCAGTCCTCGTCCAGCTTGTGCACTCACAGTTCGGCAGACTTTCCACCACACTTCTCCTGCGTCTCTGCGTAAATATTATGACTTCATCATACAAACAATATCCATGCGCAAAAACGTCCAGCATCTAGACAAGACAGTGCGGGCAGGCACATCAGATTGAGTATTAGCTGATCTAACGGAGCTTAACTTGATTTTTTATTTAAAGAAGGCCAGCGAAAATGTTTACATTCTGCTGTATAAACATCCTGCCCATGTTCCTGTCTATCTGCAGAAATCAGGACGAAGGCTTTGAATATGAGGGGCTCGTTCTCTGCTATATGCATTTCACATTAGGAAATGTACAATTATGCAATACATTTAATAAGAATAGAGGTATATTTGCCGTGCTGATGCGTCAGTATTGTGGCCAGAAAAGGCGAGATCGTTTTTCTTTCACCCATCTGGTTTATGAATGAGCTATACTAAATATTTAGGCTTCAAAATAGGAAGTAAAAGAAAATAATGTTTTTTGTAAGAAAAAAAACTAGGAGAAAAATGTTCAGTATTTTAAGGCCCCAAATACTTCATAACAAAAAAGGTGAAACATTAAATATTTCTGGGCTAAAGTCTTGACATTTGGTATTTGCTACAGTATATATGGAATAAAGCGATGAATGTTTGTTTTGTAGATGTATTCACTATTTCAATGTTAAAAAGGGGAAAACATTTCCCTGAAAAGTGAACGCATGCACACAGATGTGCATGCTCACAGCCCACCACTGGAGTAGGAGGGAACTGGGCGGGGCCCAACATTAGGATGGCCAAGACATCCAGCTTCCAATGCGCTGATGGCAACAGATAAGTAAAAAGTGAGCTCCTCGGACGCACGACAACACACCAACTGAAGTGGAAAGCGGCTCCTGTTCTGCTCCTTATCCTATTTCGGACGCCGCGTACAGGGCGGTGTGGCTTCAGACTGCTGCAGGACTTTATCAGAGAGAAGAAGTCTGCTAAGAAGACAGCCTCGCCTCCTACTTGTGCGTAAAGTTTCGTTTCAGTCAGCCTTTTCTTATTTTTATTTTCGGCGCTTAATGCCTCTGATTTAGTATCGTGGTTGTAGTGTTTATATTTCAAACAATTGGAAATCAACAGTTTTGTTTGCAATCTCGAAGATTAAATTGAATCTAATGACGGCAGAGGTCCAGCAGCCCCCCGCGCAGCCTGCCCAGAGCAGCCCGATGTCTGCTCCGGAAAAGCCGCACGGACAGACGGCGGTAATGGAAACCGCCTCCTCCACTACGAAAACTAAAAAGACAAACGCGGGGATCCGCAGACCAGAGAAACCTCCGTATTCATACATCGCCTTAATAGTTATGGCTATCCAGAGCTCTCCAACCAAGCGCCTGACGCTCAGTGAAATCTACCAGTTCCTCCAGAGCCGCTTCCCGTTTTTCAGGGGCTCATACCAGGGATGGAAGAACTCCGTGCGTCACAACTTGTCCCTCAACGAGTGCTTCATTAAGCTGCCTAAGGGCCTCGGCCGGCCAGGAAAGGGCCACTACTGGACTATCGACCCGGCTAGTGAGTTCATGTTCGAGGAGGGCTCTTTCAGAAGGAGGCCCCGGGGTTTCAGGCGCAAGTGTCAGGCGCTAAAACCTATGTACAGCATGATGAACGGCCTGGGATTCAACCACATTCCCGAGTCCTATAACTTCCAGGGGAGCGGTGGGGGTCTGTCCTGTCCTCCCAACAGCCTGTCTCTGGACAGTGGGATCGGGATGATGAACGGACACTTGGCTGGTAATATGGACGGGATGGGTCTGTCCGGACACACCATGTCTCACTTATCGACCAACGGAGGACATTCCTACATGGGAAGTTGTACAGGCTCCACAGGGAGTGATTATCCCCACCACGACAATTCTGGCTCCCCTCTGCTCACCAGCGGAGGGGTCATGGAGCCTCATTCCGTCTACTCGAGCTCTGCCTCTGCATGGGCTCCCGCGCCGTCGGCCTCGCTAAATAACGGGGCCTCCTACATAAAACAGCAGCCTCTGTCTCCTTGTAATCCAGGGGCCAACCCGCTGCAGCCGAGTCTGCCTACACATTCACTGGAGCAACCTTACCTGCACCAGAACGGGCACAGCACCACAGATTTACAAGGTAAGATTAATGGCAGCATTCGCCTTAAAATTGTGCCATCGTGCGTAAAAGTAGAACATGTTCTCAATAGAAGTGCTTAGACATAACTTAAATTACAGGAAAAAACATTACTCAGAATGAGTTCTTTATACAAAAAGCAAACAATTCTAAATAATATTTTCTCCGCGAAGTACTGATTGTACAAAGATTTGTGCTTTTGTGCCAAATGGAAGCCGTGGCAATCTCTAGTTATAATTTCAATGCATTGCTGTTTGTTTTTGTGTATCTTTACAAAGGTGCAATACAAAGTCTAAATCGAGGGCATGAAAGGAATAGAAAAGGAATAGAAAACTGCATAAATCTTCACTTAGTCAGTCATATAAATGACATAGTTCTCCGATTTAAAACCAAAATACCAGAGGTTTTAAACTTGCACAATTTCAGTTTCTGGAAGATGTAATGAAATAAAAAAAACTAGGATAAAAAAAAATGCACTGAAGTCTGGCGGGACAGTTTAGAGCTGTGCCAATCTCCGGGCAAAGAAAAACAAGCGCGGTTAGGAGCAGCCTGCCTCGCCCCGAGGCCCTGAGTCCTTCGGGAATGGCGTGCAAGAGGGCCACTGTCAATTAGCCCTGCAAGTCCGCCTCCCCACTTTGACTATCTAAATGGTTCTTGCTAAATGGATTCCTGGTCTACGAGGAATAAACACGCATGAATCTATCGAACCTTTACAAATTGAACACATAATTTTTAGACAAGTATCATTATTATTTTTCCAGAAAATGTTCATTTTAGAGCAAAAATACAAATATTAGAATAGGTGAGAAAATTCCCCAAGCAGGACCTTTTATTAAGGATATCACTATCATTTAATTTAACATTTTCAAGACACTGATATAAGACTGTTAATTTTTATTTTAATTAAGGTATTATTATAGGCTATGTTAAAAGTGTTTTATAACTAATGATCAACAAAATTAAAGAAATTAAAGGTTATAATCTAGGAGGTAAATAGTTAAAAATATAAAGGCCTTGTAAAATATTTCCTTTTTGTTGTTTAGAGGTCTAAATATTATGGTGATATTCAGTCTAATCTCAGATTACCTCCCTGGTGTGACATATAGATTTTAATTGTGTTTTACTTTTACCTTATCTGGCAGGTATTCCTCGGTACCATTCCCAGTCCCCCAGCATGTGTGACCGGAAGGAGTTCGTCTTCTCGTTTAATGCCATGACATCCTCAGCGATGCACACACCGAGCAGCAGCTCTTACTACCACCACCAGCAGGTATCCTACCAGGACATCAAGCCCTGCGTCATGTGATGCCTTAACGGACACTCAGCAGAACGGCGGACGGTGCCACAGACTCGAAGCAGAGCAAAACCGAGACCAGAAAAACCCTGAAGTAAAAAAAAAAACCACTGAGACAAAGAAAGTATAGCCTCGGCGCTGCATGGAGAGAGCTCACTGTACTACTTTTACGTACTGTTTCATACAGTAACGCGGAGGCAGGTCAACCATGACTCAAATCAATAATAATAAGAATAATATAAAATAATAAAACATTTTCATGGTATCAGCATCGAGCAGCGGGATACAGACTGGGTGCATAAATTCCTGCTGTTGTATGGTACGAAGTCCTGCAGAGCGGATCACTACCACTTCACACTTTGTTTATTCCTCGTGTTAAAGTAGGCCCCTGTAAAAATGTCCACGTCAATTTACAACATCTGAACTTGAACTTTTTTTCTTTGACAATTAGACTGAGGCCCATGTTTTCCTTTTTGGACTTTCATACCAGCGTTGAATTTTGAACTTTCTTTTGGACATTGCATATTTATGTCCATATTTACTGTGTACAAACGATGAAGGCACTTTTTGAAAGCCTAAAAGCGCAACTTTTATTTATTCAGTAGGGCTTTATATTTTAATTTTCAGGCGAATTGGCCAAGGTTTTTGCTTTATTGGCAATATTTGTCAGAGCGCTTTTTATTTGTTTTTAAAATGAGAATTGAGGATATATTGTTAGCACTGTTATGTCATTTGTGTTACATCTATGTAGACCAGTACTTTCAGCACTGTAAACTTGTATATTGTCAGGAAAATTAGCAAGGCTCCATCAATGAGGGCTAATGTTGAGGCTTTAATACAAATTATTTGTTAAAAAAAAATGAATAAAAGTTTATCTGTTGGGCTTTTTCTGCCTAAACCCACAAAAAATATTAGTCGATTTCATTACACAACCATGAATGAATTTGTGGAACATTGCATCTCTAGAAATAATAAAACAAAGAGCATGGCCTAGATCTGCTCTTTTTGTAAAAGTGACTGGACACACATTTAATGGGAACTTTACAAGTAAAGATTGGTTGCAAATAAATATTCCAGTAAAAATGTAAATCTATGTAGATTTAAAACTGGTGATGATTTCTTTATTCGATCAGTAAGAATAAAAAATGACTTGAAAGGTTAAGAACAATCTGTTCCTTCATACATTGTATTATTTAAAATGACAGACCAGGATTCTCACATACGTTTAAGTTGTCAAAGAATCTAATTAAAAAGGGAGATTAATCTAAATTCATGTGGATTTAGTTCAATCAATCTTTGGTGTCACTGAAGAAAAATATTTGAAGCACAACATGCAGATAATGTCCCCGCTACAGAGCGACAATAGGTCCACAGAAACATGTTCAAGAATATCACAGTGGTGTTTTGGAGTTCATGACTGAGGCCAGAGTTTGTTTTTAGCTGAAAGGCAGCTCATGCCTGTCATTTTAACTGGCAATAAATTAATGGAATTTTATCTTCCACAAAACAATGCTTAATTGATGATATAGAAGGTTTTAAAAGTCAATCATATTATTGCATCTATAGAGCAAGAACGTGTGTTCGAAGGAACGAGGGCGTAATAAATCAGAGGCAGGGATCTCATCATGTTTGGTTAAAGGTTAACAACACGCAGCACTTCTTTTGCTCTGATGCATTCACAGTTGTTTCATTGAAAAGTTTTTATGCCCAAACGATCTGTCTGCTGAATAGGTTGGGAATGAATAAGATACAAATGTTGACAGAATAGGCTTCAGGAATATAAACATCCTACAGTGACTAATGGGTGTCAAGTAAATAAAAGTCTCTTAAACCTACATAGCATTACTGCAGAACTCCTAGTTTTATTAGAAAAGGCACATTAGACTAGTTTCTAACTTTGTCTTTGTTGTAGTCAATAACTATTTTAACTAGGGGTCTTACTAAGACTTTTTCTAAATGTGCCTATCTTTCAGGGAGATTTGTGGTTTTGAAAGTGACTCACAGCGCTCTAAATGTACAAAACCACAATGGGCTGCACTTTAGTATTTCCCACATTTAATTATTAAAAACTGATGCAAACTTAAATCTGTATGCAACGCCGTATTCAAGCTGTTTAAATCCTAGTGTAGCTGTAAAATCTCACATGACCACTGATTGAACTTGGTAAAATCGGTGTGCCATCGAGTAGTTAGCAGGCTGGACAGCAGTGGAATAGCACACTAACAAACTGATGACACTAGTCGAGGTTTAGTGCTCTGGAGGGGCTCAGGGAGAAAGAGATAGGGCTCCACAGCTGTTCCACTCACCAGGCCTGGATGACAGGTCCATAAAAAGCTCTGTGCAGACAGACACGCTGTGTGCATGTGAGCAAAAAGGACAGTTGTATGGTGATAGGAATGAGAAGGTAACAGGGGTGGAGTGGCTTGTATGGTTTGTATGTGTATTGGACTCTTGGTACCGCAGATTCAGTTAATCTCCTGTGCAGCCACTGTTGCTGCAGGTATTTTCAAAGCAAGGCAGCCATTAGTTTTCAGCATAAATAAAGTTTGTAACAAAAGAAGAAAATTAGGGTTTGCCTAAATTGCTGATGTAATAGTTAGAAAGCTGACCTATTAATGACTTATATATACACATGTATGTTTGATCAGTGGTTTGACACTTATGCTCAAATAAAGATACTGCTCAGTTTGAAAAAATAAAGACAATAAGCAAGTCATTCTTGAATTCAAAGTTTTAATAGAGAACATTGTAATCTCTTACAGACTGTATTTACACTCTAATAGTCTATTCAGACATGTTAGTGCATCCTATCTGTTCAACGATGAGGCTAACTTGAAATGAAAACTGACCTAACTAGACAAAATGCATAAATGTATTTTGTTAAAAAGGAGGTACAAATATAAATGTTTAAAATCCCAGCATCTATTTTGAAATTTTCAGGAAAAAACCCAAGCCAATTAAAAAGTACAGTATGCAAATACAATAAAAAATAACAGCTCTAGTGAGGCTGCACACAAAACTCTTAGTTATTTAGAAATGAAATACATTTAGATGTTTTAGTGTCTGCAATGTGCACAATGTAAAGGACTCAGGAGTGCTTTGCGCTGTGCAAGGTTTATGGCAAATTGGATAGATCAATTTGTCAAGGAGTGAAGAATGGTAGGGAATTGGTGGAAAATCTGTGGTCAATGTTGGTTTGGCCTATATGGATTTAGAAATGTAAGATCATGAATTTCTTACTTTACTGATAACATCCAGTGGTCAGGAATCTAAATTTTCCAATGAAAAATAGAAATAACCACATGGTAGCGCTATCAGCTTCCTAACTAATGGGTCCCTCTTTTGCCCATGGCCGTGGTTCAAGTAGAAAAACATAAAAACATGACCTTATAGAAGAAGCTAACACTGGTTGTAAAAATAGAATAGAGTCAATCCTTGTATTTTCACTAAAGACAGTGGATACAGTCCTTGGTTTTGAAGGGCTCCTGGGATACACTCACCAGGAGGTGTGTCGAAAAAAACAAGGCACAGAGGTGTTTGGTTAATCATTGTTAAATAATAAAAAAAAATACTTTGTGAAATGTGTTACGATGCTGGGATTCAGAAACTGCATATTTATTATTTATTCTTTTTTTCGAGCTCATTAACCTTATTATCTAAGTCCATGTAACTGACCTGAACTTGTATTAAATCCAGATTTCTTTTTTATTCTTTAAAGCAAACCAAAGTTTTCTTAAGGTACATAACTTTTCTTCACTTCTATGGCTCAGTCACCACATCGACGGCACTCTCAGTATCCGGCTGTGCTGGTTGGGATTTCGGAGCTGTTGGTCTTGGTCTCCGGTTCCTGTCCTGTCCGGACCTCTTGCCTCCCCGCTGGCTCTTGGCCAGCTCAGCCTGCAGACTGCTGCCGTTCAGACTGAGACCCTGCAGAGCCTCTAGGGCCTGCTCAGCAGCCTGGGGGTCAGTGTAGTCTAGGAAGGCCCTGTGCTGAGCTCCCTGCCAGGTGAGCCTCAGTGGTGTTGCCTCCCTCTCTCTGAGGGCCGTTTTCAGCTCACTGACACGCAGCCCAGCAGGGATTCCCCCGAGGTAAACTGTGGTCACACTCACAGGAAGCTTACGTTGAGATAACGCTTCACTTCCACCCTCCTCTGAGACCTTCTCCCTAAAGTTCCCCCCACTTTTACCCCTTCTTCTCTCATTGGTTTCACCCTCTTTACCTGCATCTCCTCTGCTTTCTTTCCTCACTCGAGCTGGACGCTGTCTGGCTTTCTGTTCTGAGTCCACTGCTCTCTCCTGCCTGAAATCTCCCTCAGCATCCTGTCTTGGCCTCTGTCTAGTTTGTCTTGTGGGTCTAATCGTGCGCGGACCTGGCTCTGGTGAAGCAGGCAGGGCCCCCAGTGTAACATCCTTTCCGGCCTTTTCCTCAAGAGCAATAAGCTTCTTTAGGATGGGGATCTTCAGCAGCTTTTCTGTGTTCAACTGTAAACACACAACGGGACATATTCAGTGAGGCTGAAAGGAAGAGCGGTCATAGAAAACAAACAAATATCCCTGCTCTGAGCCAACACATTGTACCTATAGAAGAGTTAAATTAATAACAAAGCTGACACATTAACTGGTATTATTCCACCCTGCCCACTGCTCATGCTAAAGTAATAACCCTCTTTATAGAAGCAGAACATTTCACTTCCGAAGCAGTTAAAAATAAAGCCTGCTCTCCTGGTTTGTTGGGGCTGTAAGTGTCTTGGCAGCCTTTGATGCTGACCAGTCCTGTAAAGGATATACAGGGCTATTGTTTTTACACTGGCCTGTTTGACCCGTCGTTCCCCTGCCCCTGCAGAGCCAAGCTGGCTGGGCAGAGGAGCCTTTGATGATCAGACATGGCCTTCCTGCCAGTGAGGTCACTGGGTCCTGTTTACTTACCAGTCTGTCTTAAGGAACCAAGAGGTTACACACAGTCTCTGTACATGTGAAGATAATGCCTCCATCAGGTCTAATTAAAGACAAACCACCATGTGGAGAGAACACCACAACTACTCAGTGTCAGTAAATCAGACACAGTTTAAGGCCTGTTTTCAAAGAATACTTAAGACATTTGAGTTTTATTTTTGTGAAGCTGTTTTTACCCAACACTCTCTATAGATGGAAGTATGTGTCTAAGCATTCATGCATAAACATAGACAAAACACTCTATATATCCCATAAATTAATGAAAATTCAAGAGTGAAATAAAAAGGGAGACTACAGGATTAATACTGTAAAATCATTACAGTAAAGAGAAATGAGATACAAACAGAAGCAGAACCGAGCAGTTCTCTTACAAGGTGTGGTATCAACTCATGTCAAGTAGAGGGCAGTGTCCAAAGAAGAAAAGGTTACCGTACATTTTTTAAATGGCATTCAGGACAGAGAAATTTGTTTCAACTCAAAGACTGTAGACTTGGAAATGAGCAGGCAGCTGCTAAAGTATTAGATCACTACAGAACTATTAATGTCCAAAAAGAACATGTTATTCAGAAGAGGACCTCTACTGCCCGATTATTGTTTAATTAAATGTGTGCAAATATTCAAAATCAATGGCCATAAAGATTCTTCAATCATCAGAAATGTGAGTCAGTCCCTTTTTGTCTGTGTCTTTGACTTGTAAAAGCACCACACATTAGAGAAATTATTAAATCATTTACCTTAGTCCAGATGATTCCCAGTGGCTTAGGGAACTGGCAGTTGGTTTTAATCACTCTGGTGGGTGTGAGGATGTAGTCCACAGTCAGGTCGTGACTTTCTCTTAACTCATCTGGAATTTCCACAACCTGGGAGCACAAATACCACACTGATGAGATTGATCAAAAGGTCCCATTAAGCTGCATGTGGAGCAACATGTTCAGTGATATGGTATAAATTAAATTTTTGTTTGATAAAGCAGGGCCTGGCTTTCCACAGACATAAGGAGCAGTCAGCCAGTGGGAAGAAGTAGCCCGCTAGGGGCAACACTTTATGCTACTTCCTGTATGAAGCTCATGTTGAATGATTTCATATGTTTTTACATGTTCATTCAAAAAGTATTTCAATATAAAATAAAATACTCATGAGATAAATCTGTTTACTGCTTTAACACTTGAAATTAAAAAAAAAAAAAGACTTTAAAACCTAAGCCAAAAACCTGAAATAACAGCCCAACATGAAATGTGAGACGTTTATATTGCATAGAGGCATTTATGTATTTTATGTTAAGTAGATACACTGTTGAAATAAATGCCCTTTTCAATACACTCCAGATAGTTTAAATATCTTGGAAACTTTGACTGTAGAGTAAAAAAAAAAAAAAACTGTTCCCTTCAGTCTTTCTCTCTCCCTGCCTCAGTGACTTGGTTTAGTAGCGCTGTTGTTTAATTCATTATATGTATCGTTTATAATGCGCCCTGTGGTGCACCTTGCGGTATGTCAGAGCCTTTTTATCAGACCCTAAAACCAACAGCTTACATGTGGACAGAGGAATAGAAGGCAGGCGTCACATTGCAGCCACACTCAGCACTCTCAGCTGAGTGCTGCCACTTCCCCACACTTGCACACAGAGGGGCAGAGTTAACACCAACGGACAAACATTTCCCTCATAATTTCGATGATTCTAGCAGAGGTGAGCAAGTTAGATTCTTAAATGGGCAGGGAAAGCAGGCAAACTTTTTTTTTTTTTTTTAAATCAGAATTTACAATGGAAAAAAATGTAGCCAGCTGTTATTAAGGGAGTAACGGCTGTTTGGCTCGAGGAAAGCCCTGATAACGTGATTCAAAGAGCAGGAAACTGTATCTTGACTGTCAGAAGAGTTACAGAAAATAATAATCATAAATGATCCAATATACAAATTGTTCAGATCTCTATATATAAAATGACAATACAATAAGTTGACTAACCTGACAGTCGTGGACAACAGTGACCACGACGGTAAACTCATTCACAGCTCCCATTGAGACCATCATGCCGTACTCCAAGTCAGCAAAACCCTCTCCTTTTCCAATCCGAATTCCTGCAAGACAAGACAGGAACGATCTTTATCGAGGTGATTCATTATGCGAGTTAGGACTACACTTCTAGCCTTTGGATCTGCATTTCATGAAATATAATATCACAGATACACATAGTTTTTGTATCATTAAGAAATAACCCAGCATTTGCATCACATTCTTTATTTGATGTATTTATTTTGAGGAGTGTGGGTAACTATGTGTCTAATATTTTACAATCTTTCTGGCAAATAATTTGTCTTGAGCTGAAAAGATATGTTGATCTACAGTATGAAACAGCATAATTCAACAACCTTCACTGGACCATTAAAGGGGACGTATTGTGAAAAATCCACTTTTACAGTGTTTATGAACACATATTTGGGTAACCTGAGTGTCTACCCACCAACAAAATGTGAAATAAATCCTTTGTTTGTGGTCTGCATAAGTCTTACAACACAGAGACAAAAGCTCCAGTTTAAATTTGCTCTCCTTGTGATGTCACAGTGGGATTCTGGTTAAAAAAAATACCCCCCTCCACTGATATCTCCACCCATGGACCACCCCGAACCTAGAGCAAACTTTAAGCAGGTCTGCCATTTTACTGTCGATACAGAGAAGAGATGTCTACCAGGAAAACTCAGGGGGCTCATTGCATTTAAAGAGACACACACCCAAAACGGAGCATTCTAGAGAGCTGGTTTATACAGGGTCACAAACCTCCTCTGGTGCTTGGTTCATGTTATATTTTAACCAAAGCACAGCACAGATTTCCACATGGGACTGTTTTAAAAAGTGGAAAAGGGCTTTAAATCTCCTCTTTAAAATATCTTTAAGCTCCCAGTATCAATTGGAGTCAGTGTGATAGTAGACTAACACTTACCTTTCTCTGACACTGCTACAGAGCCAACCACCACCAAGTCCACCTTCACCTTTGCATCCAGGCCAACAGGCACACTAAAGTCCTTCACACCCTGGAGGAAGAGGTTCAGAGGACAGGAAGAAAAAAAAAAGTTAAACTTTGGGGCTAATCCACCAAAATGAACACGAGACATATTTAACTATGATTGCAGGCAAACATGGGAGTGGAAGAAACACCTGTGATTGAGGGTTCAAATAGCAAATAGGTAGGTTAAGATGTTGAAATGCATGTATGTGTCCTAAATAGGATCGAATACAGAAAAATACAGTTTTGGGTGTTTGGGTTTGGAAATCCTTTTCCAGAATCATCTTTAACAATATTTCTTATTCCAATGTGTGGATAAAATTGACACGATTACAAAACAGATAAGATGGTCAAAATATTTGCAATAAATGTTTTTATTTATGTCATCGCCCCCCAGTGCAGCGCTACCTGTAGCACTGCCATCCGGACACCTTCCAGAGTTTTATCAGGATCCACCTTCACCTCACTTGTCTTGGTGAAAACCTGCAGCTCAGACACCTTGTTGCAGGCTGTGAAAGCACCCTGGTTGAAAGGAGAGGAAGGCATGAAGGCTAAAATAGTCAACTTACTTCCAGAGTAACAAAGCGTGCCTGCAGCTGCGGTCTGTCTGGGTTAACTTTGACTGTCTGGCTGGACTTGAACTCCTGCAGGTCTGGAAGCTTGTTGCATGCTTGCGTTGCACCCTGGTCAGTTAGCGCATGGTAAAAGAAATACATAGACGCAATAGACAAGATAGCAATTAATCATAAAAAAAACGTCAGTCATGATTTGTTATGCAAACCTGATGCCCTGGTTCTGCAATGTAGCTATGCTTGTATTTACTGCATTTAAATTGTTTTACGTATCAAAGAAATAATGTTTGCCTAAATTATCAATATTCAGTGCTGCTGAACCTGGACTGTGCTGGTTGAGCATCTTACTTGTGATTCTTCACATTAGACTTTTTGTAATATTTTAGTCTAATTTTGTAGTTTGTCTCATTAACAATAGCTCTCAGTGTTTACAATTTGAGTATTTATATTTGTAATGTATAGTAGATGATCAATACAGTATTGCATAGTGTCGCCTACACGTGGTCTCTCCTGCAGAGTCATGTAACAAGTCACAGTTAATAAAACCTGAATGCTTAAAAAAGCAGGTCTGATCAGAGCCACTTTTAACTGCCCTCACAACTATTTCCACATGAACGGACGGAAATAGTGACTGAAGAGTTAATTAACCAGTGAGTTGAATCAATTAGTATCATCAGATAATGAACTGCTGCGTCAATTAAGATGATCCAACCTGCCTTGAAATTTGGGATTCTGTTGTGAACAGGTCTTGGGAAATTGGCCAGATTATTTTCTTCAATGTAGTCCCAGACTTTCTGACGAATGTCCCATTTAGTCGCCCCTGGAAAGAAAACGCAGAGAAATTCAACACAAGAGAAGCAACACCGAGCAGCTTTAGCAAACCCTTAAAGGACAACTAGCCCACATTAGCATGCATCGACTGTTATATTTATCGTCAAAACGCTGCACGAACATTTTACCTACCGGGTTTTATTTGTATAGCAGGCTCCATTATTTTTATTAGTGACACAAATGAGTCTTTTATGCAACACTCGGTTACACTAAACGATGTAAAATCTTACACGTGAGCTCTGTAAACTAATACTGAAGGAACAGCTGCTTGTCAATGTTTTTCACTGCGACGGCGGCCCAGGCAGGTCAATCTTAACCAAACGCGAAACCTAAGCGTTTAACATTGGAAAGAACTCACACATTTATAGGTTTCAGAAGACCCTGTGTTAAATCAGTCACGTCGCTAACTAAGTCTTTTTTAAACTTCATGAATCCATCCTCCTCCATATGTTTTATTTACTTATTTATTTTATTATCTTTCGACAACATATGGGCCAATTTTAAGAGCCTACATAGGCCTACATTAAAAGAAAGAAAATTAACAGAATTAAAAGCAGCATATGATATAAAATTGAGGCTTCCTGACGGTATTAAGAAAATCAAGAGTTATATAAGTAAGCCTTGCGTTTTAATTACCTGCCACTGAAAAGGAAATCCATGCAAGTTGTTTATAAAAAATGTTTATAGTGGTGATAGTTTATAGCCTGTTAGGTGAACATTACCGACTGGTTGTGGGTAGATGTTAGTAGATGTAGCCTAATAGGGTCAAATATGCTCCTAGCAATTGTCTATTTTGTGTTTTTCTGAGAGGACTGTGTTACCTTATGAAGAACTTGTGTTATAGTTTGCAGCCCCTCCTTTGGTTATTTCTATAAGCTATATTTGTTTTGCCCCTTTTGTAAGATTCCCTGTGAGAGAGGTGGGTGTCCATTGTTTAAAAAAAATCTAAATCCATTCTTTAATTTATTTGATTTTATTTATTCTGTGCATATTTTTATTCCCCACAATGTTATGTCTTTTGCTAGCTATTGGTGTTTTGATTAGATCTAACGCGCTGTACTTCTCTATAGGATCTTGGAGTGGACTGGGAAGTTACATGGAGGGTTTTACATTCTATGTTTTTTTATGTGCTTTTCCTGGCCGGATAATAAAACGTGGACATTGAAAAGAATCCTGGTGTCACATCATCATTCAGTACTATCACAACACAACACAGAAGCCTGCCAGTTACATAGAGCAGAAATCAATTTAGGATAATAGTTTGGAGCTGATGTAACATTGATGTAGGTTTTATTGCTGGACAAACTGATATAATACCTTGCCTATGTGAAGCATTCATATCGTCAGTATATAAGCAGGTGTTTGTGTCAACTTAAGGCAGGCCAAAATAGTTACTGATGTCACTAATGTAAGACAATTATCCTTTCTTAATATGTCGAGTTATTTCTATCTCCACCTGAGTTTTTCAGGCATCACACAGTGAAGTATTAACATAATGATGTGTCTAATCTGGTCACTGCATTCTGCGGCCACACTGTATTTTACCTCCCTGAAATGAACACATCAAACCTCTGCACGGGAGCCTCTTGTTGCTCAAGTCGTCTTTCCCGAAACCTTCTGGACAGTGTTCCTTGCAGAGAAATTCTAGCGGCTGGTTGTGTACGTGGGCGTCTTGAAGTAGTTGCAGATGGGCTGAAATATTCCTGTGACGACAGTATGACAGTCTACCCCCAGATATTGGGAAACTGAGGAAAGTTTCTAATGCCAGTGAGTATTCTTCTATACAAGGAGCGATGAGAAGTAAAGACAGGAGGAGAAAAAAATGACTTCAAAACTAAAGAAGCAGAGCGGGATTTTCTTGCACAATGTCACTGACTATCAAGGTGCATGAAGAGTGAAAGGCTTGAAGAGGTCAAAAAGCTCCAGCAACACTTGTAGTAAGAAGATCAACTTTATTAACAAAGGCCGACGACTTTCAGCTTGTGGCCTTAATCAGGGTCAGGAACTGATACAAGGATCTTTGTATCAATAATAACACTTTAATACATAAATGTCACATCTGTATTCATTTTAATGAAATAATTGTATTAGAATATTTATGTATTGGGATCATACTTTCAATGGTCACTATTTTGGTTTAGCATATCAGCGTGCTACCATTTGAGGAAAAAAAGCAATTAACAGAAACTACAGCTGACACTGATGGTAATTTAATTTTAGTTACAGTTTAAGTACTGAACTGCTTAAAATTGTAGGCTACCTGCTGCTGTCGAAATGCTAAGGGACTATCGGAAGTTATTCTAATTCCTCTTGAGTTGGACATGAAATGTTTGAGCCCGATTTCAGGGTTCAGGTTTGATTCTCTGGCCCCCACGGATGTTTGAACCCTACTATATGGCAATCAGTTCCACAATTGTCGAGATGTGCCACTAAAAAGAGAGATGTTGGTCAGTGTGGAAAAGTTCATGCCACGTCCATACAAGAGAGCATAAACAAAAAGCTGGTGGCCAAGCCAACTGCTCAGTAAACAAGCGTAAACAAGTTGAACCGCTGAGATTTCACAAGTGTATGATCGTCTCAGATTCTCACAGTTTGTAATGCGATCACACAGATGTTACCACATCTCTTATTTTACGCCATAATCCTTAGCGTGGTCCGCAGTCCCAGCTTGATCTCTTGGGCAAAAGAACACAGAAACAGTTGCCGTGTTTTTTGAGGTGGGTCTTGCATAATTATTTTGGACAACAACAAATCGTGTTTTTGTTATTGATGGGAAGGCTTATGGAGCGATCCTTTTCCACCGATAAAACTGATAGTGTCAGGGTACGTGTTGAAAAACAAAAAGGAGGACCCAAGTGCAGAAAGAAATCGATCTATTTTAAACAAAAAAAGGCAAAAGGCAAAACAAGGCTTACTTCTTTAAGTTCCCAAGCAAGGTTAATCAAAATTCAACTAAAAATCCACAAGGACAGAACCAAGAGTCATGACGAAACACAAGGAAATACTGACACTGGAAACATCTGACAAAGACCAACAAGTAACACACCACATCCAACAACTAACATACGACAATGAACTGACAACAAGTGGGAAGGAACACTGAAATAGACAGGGGTAATCAGACACAGGTGAAGACAATGAGGCCAATCAAACTTGAGGGAAACACACAGAGGCAGGAATAAAACACAAGACAAGAAACACTGAGGACAAGAACTACAATCTAAAATACAAAACACTAAAGACACAGAGAACTCAAGAATTAAACAATCCACACTAGAAAAGAGAGAAACACTACTACAAATTACAAAATAAAAAAGGAAACACAAGGGAAACTAGCAACACTAGGGAAGAATAAGAAAAACTAAAACAAGGAAATCTACAGTCTGAAAAAAAACAAAAAACCAGACCAAATCATGACAGATAGTAGAAAAATAAATTAGGCTAGACTTGACATGGCATTTTGTCCATTGTGACCTCTTTCCTGCGTTATTATAAATTGTTATTTGAATGTAACTTTCCTGTTTTGTTCTTTCACATTTCAATGTAATTGATGATAAACTATGAAGCTGCCTTATCTGATTATCTGCTATTACAGAGTATGTTGGCTCTTTGGTTACATGTGTTCTAAGAGACTTCAAGTCAGAGCAGTAAACAGATGTGAGCCCAGTCTGTTCATAGTGGTTTAACTGCTGGGGTTTCAATCTTTTTTTTTTTTTAAAGCATGAAACCATCATAATATTATTACCTGAAGGTGTTATAGCCTACCACTAGAGGGCGAGCTTTACCAAGAGATTTCTCTCAGCAGAAAGGTGCACCATGCCCAGATTTTTCTATTGAAACCAAATATCTGTAAATGATATTCTTCTCTCTCTCTTCCTTTAGGATTTATTGTATCGATATTACAGAAATTGTATTGAGATTGCAACACACACAAACATACTTATGCCCACATACAAATTAAATGTACATATTGAGGAAAGAACAAAAATAAGCAATATGGATAAAATGGAAATGTTTTGCCAATACAACCATAGTAAGCCCATTGGTATGCCCCTGCCCTATATAAATATTGATATTGTTTATTATATTACACATGTTTTTTTTAGGTTACTGACGGTAGAGCTGGGATGATCCATTGATGGACGAAAATGCTAACCAAATGTTTTCAAATTCGATAAAAATGTTTTGGTAATTTTGCCAAAAAAGTGCCAAATGTTTGCTGATTCTAGCTTTTTAATATTTGCTCATTTCACTTATGAAGAGTGGTGAATGTTGGTTTGACACAAAAAAGCATTTTAAGACAGATTTGTTGGCTGTGGAAAATTGTAATGAGCATTTCTCACATCTTTAGTCATTTCTCATTAATTTTAGTCAAAACATTTCATCAGTTTATCGTTCAAATATTTGGTAGATCAACCATTTACAAAAATCATTATTGACCTCACTTCAGTACTTTCACTGTCACAGACTAGTGATTTCTTGATGGACTTATTATCTAAAAATTCTTAATCTGATTAGTCCTTAAACTGTTTAATGGTGCAACATTTATATTCAATCATCTGTCTTTCAGTCATCCAGGCAAAATGCTGAACTGGTTGTATTCGACATGAACTGTCCCATCATCAGCTTTAACAATTTGCCACCTGGTTTATCCATACATTGTTATACCGACAAACTCATTCACACACTGATTTACCCCCCTCCACTGCAACCTCGCTGTCACCCCACTCTCTCTCTGTCAGTCTGGGCACTTCGCCAGAGCCCCTCTCCACCCCCTCTTTTTTTATCCTGAAACTCTATCTGTGTTTTCTGAACATACCAAGCCAAGCCTCACAATGCTGCATTTACTAAACCAAGTGGCTCAGCCGTGATGTCGCTGTTCCCAGACCTCCCTCTCTGTGGCAGACTCTCTCTGTGAGGCAGTGCGGAGCTCACACGGCTTCACATGGAAGAGCAGGGCGGTCGAACTGCAAGAGAGGAGAAACCAACATCATCTGTTTGGAAAATCTAGATCATCAGAGGACAATAAAAAAGAGGAGGAGCAGTGTGTTTGGAGAGCTGAGGTATCACTGTGTCTACCCATCCTACCCTGCTCTCACATGCACACCCACAGACACACACTCCCCTTGTCTCTCCCTTCCTCCCTCCCCGTTCGTCTCCTCCACTCTCCGATGCTGGCGTGGTGAACAGCAGGACACTCTCGGCTGAGCTGCATGGAGGCTCAGGGAGGGGCAGGGAGCCCAGGTAAGAGCCATTTTTCTATTCTTTTTCTCCGCGTTGCAGCTTTTGTTTCACTACACAGGCATGGTGGATGCCAAGTGTC